TATTATAGCGTTTGTTAGTTATTGTAGCCTGTGTTGGTTGCCAGTGTCGGTTATTATAGCCTGTGTTGGTTGCCAGTGTTGGTTATTGACTGTCGATCTTGTCCGGCAGCTGTTCTGTGATGTCATCTCTGTTTTTGACCATGTTTACGGTTCTCTAGCAACAGGCATCCCTCATCTGTCTCTCTTTCTCTGCAACTTCTGATGGCTTTTTTTTCCCCCTGCATGAACTCTCTCTCTCTCTTTCTCTCTCTCTCTCTCTCTCTCTCTCTCTCTGCTCACTCTCATTTCCTCCTCTTTATTCCTCTGACACATCATTCTAATTCTCTCCATCATTTTTAACCCTCCCATTCATGTTTTGTGTGGTAGAAATGTCTGCAATTTTCGATGTCTTTTCAGTGTAACTGTTACTAATAGCATTTTCAAACATCTGTTCTTTACAATGTTTCCTTTGCTCTCTGTCTCTCTTGTATGTAATGTTATGACGACCACTAAGCGAAGGCCAATAAACATCAGTTTTATTGTTGTAGGTGTGGTTGCTGATCTGAGTTTGGTAGAGGAATCTGAGGATGTGAACGTTTCTCACAGTTTTGCTATGAGAATTAAACAATGTAACTGTACTTTCTGAAAATCACATTTTAAGTTTCACACGGACTGATAAATGTGAAGAGGAGAGCAAAAGTCTGAGAGCATTAAATTAACATATTTCCATATTTTATCATTTAATGCAAACTACATTATACTGTATGGGATCTAAGTGAAATATTGGTAACACTTTACAATAAGGTCCGTTAGTTAACATTAGTTAACTACATTAGTTAATATGAACTGCACATATACAGCATTTATTGATCTTTGTTAATGTTAATTTCAACATTTACTAATATTTTATTTAAATCTTGTTAACATTAGTTAATGCACCGTGAACTAACATGAACAAACAATGAACAGCTGTATTTTTATTAACTAACGTTAACAAAGATGAACAAATACAGTAACAAATGTATTGCTCATGGTTAGTTCATGTTAGTTAATACATTAACTAATGTTAACTAATGAAACTTATTGTAAAGTGTTACCGAAATATTAAATGGAAAATGTACATGAATCTGATAATAGTATTCACCTCAGTATACTGTCATTGTCAGACAATGCTTTAATGACACTTTAATGGCTTTAAAAATTAAATGACTTTAATTTTTGCTTTAATGACACTTTCCCATGATCAGTGTGGCTAAATTGGCTGTGGTATTAATTTTGCATTACTTTCTGTCAGAAACTAGGGATGAACAACTATTTAAAATTCTCCCTGATACTAATAAGTCAATGTTTATTTTCATGTTATGGTGAATACCAAATAAATGTACATTAATTAATTCAACAGTGTTTGCCAAAATAAATAAATAAATAAATAATTGTATGCAAAGTTAGGCCTCACAACACTATAGAGTATGAAAAACTGATATTCATTTACTAGTGTTATTAAATTATAAATGTATTTCAAGATGAACTTAAATTGAGGATTAGATAAAAGCAAAGTACATCTAAATGTGAAAACAGGAGAAATGAGCAGAGGCAAAAAAATTAAATCCATTCTTAGCTGAAATGGGGGGTGGTGATGACGCAGTGGATAAGACACATGCCTGTGGTGTGAGAGACCCGGGTTCGAATCCACTGTAAGACACCAATGTGTCCCTGAGCAAGAGACTTAACCCATAGTTGCTCCAGGGGCGTGCGACCTCCGACATATATATAGCAATTGTGAGTCGCTTTGGATAAAAGTGTCAGCTAAATGAATAAATGAAATGAAATGAATGATATATTTCCAATATCAAGTGAGGCAAAACAAAAAAAAAACATTTCTAACAGCGGCCCATAATAAACACGATGCTGACCCTAACCCGAATCATCACGAACTCCTCGTCAGCAGTGAGTCTGTTTGATTACTAGGCTTGAAGTCTTTAGAGCTACTTTTGCATACAAAAATAAGAGTTCCAGCATGTTTTCTGCTTATTTGTGCATTAACATCACAGTTTTCTCCTGAAGCTCCACTCATCAATAGCGCTTACATCACCACAGCACAATTACTGACAGAAACAGGCCATCAAGCGCTCCTAAAACTGCATAGATCCGTCAATCGTCTGTGTGTGTTTCGTACACACCTGTATACACAAGGTCAGGCTCACATGCAGTGGAAGCTTGAAACCACAACAAATTAATCTAAACAAAGGATTTTGCAAGCAAAAAGTGACAGTGGCCGTATTGAATCACAGATCAACATAGTTTGCATAGCATCACATTTGCTGTGCATTGACTAGGTTCCAAAACACTGAAAGAAGTTCCAATTACGTTGAGGCGACTGACTGAGCGCTGATGTTGGCATGTGCTGTGTGTTCTGCAGCTCCCTTTAAAGTGTGTGACCGTGTGTGTGCGGCTTCAGTTTGCTGAGACGGGCACTAAACATTCAGACGGCTGTAAATGAAAGCAGGCTTTCCGTCCAAAGCACATAGCTTGTTTTTCCATTGCCAGTTTGAGCTCATTTTATGTCTGTGTAAAAATTAATTTGTTTTTCCTTTGGAAAAGATACTTAGGCAGATTTAAGTTCGGGCTCCTGTGGGAGCAGGAAAACACTCTCTGTACCTGACATTATCAGAAGAGGAGAGAAGAGTCTCTGATTCTCATTTACGGTTTTGCAGTAAAAACTGAGATATTGATTAAATCAAAAAGGTCTGTCCTAGACTATGATGCATACAAATGTCAATTTAATTGAATTAAAGATGAAAAAAGCACTCTCCCGTTGAATCTCATAAGTATTTATTTACCATGTCCACACAGACGCGTTTCGGCCTAAGCCATCATCAGTGAGTGTTCAATTTAATTGAATTAAAATAAGAATGTAATTTAAAATATATACATTTTTCCCATTCCATTATTTTAAGGCTGTTATATATTTTGTTAAATGCATACACTGCAAACAATAAAGCTCTTCCTCAGTGTTTCTGTCTTGTTTTCCAGTAAAAATATCCAAACATTCTTAAATGAAAACACATTTACTGGAGAAACAAGATAACTGAACATATTAAGATATACAGTATTAAAATCAATCAAAATGAAGTGAGTTTGTGCTTAAAACAAAAACTAATATCTGTCAGTGGAGTCAGAATAATCGGTAACACTTTATAATAACTACACGCTAATAATAATTAGTTAAGTATGAGTAAACCATTAATTCATCATTCATAAAGCATTAATAGACATTAATAAGCAGTTTATAAATACAGCTATAAATGTTTTCTTCTTAATTTAAAAGCGTATCTATAATTTGTTAAATAATTGTATTTTCATCCTTTATTAATGATCAATTTATCATTTCTGAATGAAGAATTGCAATTTTTATGAACCAGTTCTTTGAGAGTTGTCAATGGTTCATAAGATTACTTAGAGCGTGTAAGTAAATGATTAATAAACTTTTTAAATGTACATTCATACAGCTTATCATTCAGACATATAGTGATGGTTACTTAGTGTGTTAATAAATGCTTTATTAACATGTATCAATGCTGTAATTCAGGTTTAATTTGGGTAGTTATAAACCATTTAGTAGTGGTCAGTTAACTATGTTCGTGAGCTCATCTAAAGTGAGGACTAGTCATGCCTTGTAAAGCATTTGTAAAGGCTGTTAAATATTTCTATGTTCTGTATCACTGCGTTGTGTTTGTTACTTTTTACTGTTTAGAAGATTGATGAGCCTTTAAATCGCCTTTATAAATGCTTTACAAAGCATGAATAGTCCTCACTTTAGATTAGCTCACAAAAATAGTTAACTAACCACTACTAAATGCTTTATAACTACCTGCATTTACTATATTTACTTACACTTTCTAAGTGATCTTATGAATGACTGACAACTCTTAAACAACTGGTTTGTATAATCATTATCATAATAATCAATCATAATCATAATCGTTTGTATATTCATTTATAAATTATTAATTGATCATTAACAAAGTATGAAAATACAATTATTAAACGCATTATAGATATGCTTATAAATCAATAAAAAAGCATTTATAGCTATATTTATAAACTGCTTATTAAGGTCTATTAATGTTTTACAAATGATGAATTAACTGTTTACTCATGCTCATCATCTAGTTTTCCCTTTGAATTAAGTTTATTTTTCTAACTCCACTGACAGATATTAGTTCTGGTTTGTGGTATTACAGATTTATTATATGTTTAATTTAGGTTTCCACTCCAATGGTATAAAAACTGATAAAGTTTGGTAGATGATTATTGAGTCTCCAGTAAGAGTCTTATTTCCTGATAGTCCTGTTTTCTCACCTTTCAGCCTAGAGATTGAATCGTTCAGGTTGATTGGATTAGCTATAGGGGAGACAACCACCTTTTGTCTTTAATGGCTCTAGGATGGCTCTTTGGAACCAGAGTTCCTGGCCACTATCAGCATTTGAATAGTTATGCTGATTCAATTGGATTGGTAATGCCCTCAGTGTAGGGTGTGTTCCAACTTCATTTGCATGCTTTGTTTCAGAGTGACTCCACCCCTATGTAAACTCCTCCCCTCTAAATGTATAAATTGCAAGGGAACCTTTCCCTTAGAGAGACAATCATTGAGATAACTACAGCGATGCAATAAAGAACTTCTGCGTGAAAGATACTGCAAAAGTCTCCTGGTCTGTTGCCTGGAACAAAAAAACTTCACTACAGGTTTTAAACACAAACTTACTTCATTTTGATTCATTTTAAAACTGCATATCTTAATATAATCATTTTGTTTCTCCAGTAAATGTAACTTAATTTATTTGTGCTAGAAAACAACACAGAAACACTGAGGAAGAATATAATTTTTGCATGAGGAAGGTCTACGTGTGTGTTTGTGTATGTGCCTTGCTGGTGAATCTGATGAGGAAGGGGAGTGTGTGTGTTTGTGTACGTGTCGTGCAGGTGAAGCTGATGAGGAAGGTGTGTGTGTGTGTACGTGCCGTGCTGGTGAAGCTGATGAGGAAGGTGTCGTACTGCATGGCTGCTGGAGTCCAGGACAGTGTGACGGAGGACTCAGAGATGTTTCTGGTGCTGAGACGAGACACAGCCAACAGCGCTGGAGAAAACACACACATACACACTTACTCTTACATTCAAAGCAGCAACAGCAGTGCTGTGTGTCCAGTTACTGCTGTATTCATTCCCCAACAGCTCTAATACAGACACACCACATGTGCAGGTTATTTCAACACCTTCTTATGGAATACAATTTAAAGTGTCTTTAAAGCTGATCTATCAATAGATGTTCAATCGGGTTCGAGTCTGGGCTCTGGTTGGGCCACTCAAGGACATTCACGGAGTTGTCCCGTAGACACTCCAGTGTTATTTTGGCTGTGTGCTGAGGGTCGTTGTCCTGTTGGAAGGTGAACCGTCGTCACAGTCTGAGATCCTGACTAGTCTCCCAATTCCTCATTTTTCCCTCAACCCTGACGAGTCTCCCAGTTCTTCATATTTCCCTCGACCCTGACAAGTCTCCCAGTTCCTCATCTTTCCCTTGATCCTGACGAGTCTCCCAGTTCCTTATCTTTCCCTCGACCTTGATGAGTCTTCCAAATCCTCATGGTGAGTGTTTATAGCAAAGGCTGTGAATACTTATGTACATGTGATTTTAGTTTTTTTTTTTTTAGCAAATTTGCAAAGATTTCATACAAACTTCTTT